CGAAGGCCAGTATGTCACAGGGTTAGCTACTGTGATTCCTTGCGATCTTGCTACGGCACGAAAAGTTCAAAAACGCATAATCGTATCGGCCCCCTGGTACGTTCCAGCCTGGGTTTCCCCTCTTTCTCTTCCAACCTTTACTGCACCTCCCTCTAACCTTCCGTCCTCTTTTGGCCTAGCTTTGCTCCAGACGGCACTTCGATGAGGTCCCTTTCATTCTTCCACTCCAGTTTTCATTAAAAATTTGAAAGAAACCTGATCGGTGATTGGTACTCCATTAACAGCCATTAAGCGATCACCAACTTTCAGTTTTTCTGCTGCGACGCTACCGGGCTGCAGTGAGGTAACCAAGATACCTCGTGTTCGTTTGCCTATTCCCATGCCGAGCTGCTGATCCGGAATTTTCTTCAGCATCACCAGTGCAGAATCACTGTTCTCCTCATTCAAATCTTTGATAATTTCAATTTCTTTACTCTGACTTGTACTAGTTGTTGACGAACTCTCCTCTTCCACTACTACCGACTTCTGAAAACTTGGCGAAAAAAGTGGGGAAAACTTGTGAGACGCCACGCTGTAAGCAATTTGTTCCATGCTCAAATCCTATGACTGAAAAGCTTTCCTTTAAATACTCCAGGGAAAAGGCAGCTACGATTTCATTCAAGCAACATGTTACCGGAAAAATCATAAACGAATTCTCCCGAAATTGTGCAAAAGGCTTTTACTGGGATGAAGGTTCGGTCCTTGAGACAGTGACTGGATTGGTCAATTCCACTTTTCCAGTGTTTTGCAAAGACAGTTAATTTTGAATAACTAGGCTGCATTTCGAAAATGTTGAAGTCTGTATTTTTTACTGTTCCACCATTTTGATAATCTCATGGTGGTTCCTCTAAACTTTGCATCCTATATTTTTCTCGCACTTCCATCCATAAGGAACTTTTTGCATTCTCAACCGCAACTTTTTGCATTCTGAGCTATGCGGAAGGCTTATTTTCAAGAAAAGCTTACTTGTTCGGCACCACTGCTCGGTTCCTCCGTGACAGGTGACAAGTCGGGATGTATAATTTGCGGTGGCTGATTCTCCTCACGTACCGAAACTTGAGATACTATGGGTTTCGAGCTTGAAGCTGGTGCCGGTGGTGGTACTGCACTATCGCTATCTGGTGTTACGGCCATCGCTGCGCTAGTTTCTACAAATTGGTTATAATTTTTACCAGTGTCTTGTCCGCTTTTGTTGAGAAAAAAATATTGTTAAAAAAGTTTATTTGCCAGAATCACTAAGATGCCTTGGGGAATTATCAGCAGATAATCCAATCTTAGCATCTGGTGCACCTAGACATCGGCACAGCTCTATCAGGCATTTCAGTCCTGTACTGTTTATTTTTAGTTGCTATCAATCAGCTGTAAGTGAGCCATCATCAGCCAAATGACTATCGTCCTCGTGCGTATTTTGAGATATAAAAACGTATGATGAAAGTGTTTCTCAGAACACTGTTTTCGATACTGCTACGTAGTATTTAGTGTTTTGTAAAATGCTCCTTCATCTTGTTTTATAGTACCATAACTGATGAGACTAAAGACAAAAAAACACTTATTTTTAGGCGTTTTTGCTGTGCAGCGCTATAGCAGCGCTATAGCGCTGCTACAGCCAGCAAAAACGCATATTG